AAAATGACGACCTGATTCTCAGACTCGGTGGAGCTGATGGATGAATCTCTGGGCTCTGTGACTTGAACCTGGAGTGCTTCTTTTTAGCTCTCACAAGAAGACATTCTTTCCCATCCTAGAGACTCGATGAAAATGCTAAGGACCAAAAAGAAATGTGGACAGAAGCAGCATGAACATTCTTTCTCTCTTCTTGAACCATTCAAGAAGTTACTGAGTTTAAGCGGGCATCATTGAAATAACACGGTCATATGCAGGAAGTTGAGAGGAGGCTGGCAATTCAGGTCATGCTGGCCAATTTTCATTCTACTGAAGCTAAGTCTGATAATAGGCAACCGAGGAATTATAGACAGCTGTTTTTGTTTTTGTTTTTTTTAAGCATGTTTGTGATTCATTCTTATTCATAAAAATGAATGAGATGAATGTCTTTCTAATGGTCTGTGTGGTGCTACAGGCCCTTAATTAAGATCAGTCTTACTACTGATGATTTAGGGAAGGAAACTTGCTGAATTTCTTTTCCTCTAAATAATCCAAGGGAAGGTTAGATCATTTAAATTTATTGAGTTAAATTCTTTCAAGGGAAGAAAATGCAGTCAGAATATTTGTTTATTATATCATAAGAACCGTTTTGGTGAAAGGGACTACTTCGCCTCAATTATATGTGCTTGGGGTGGCTGTGAGGAAAACCGATAGGCACACTTTGGCATAACCAATTTTGATGTCTCGTGTAATTTAGGAAAAATGAATGATGTAAAGTTTTATTTTTTTCTTTTACCATATAACAGTTTTCTTTTTTCCTCCTTCCAGGATTAAGTTGTCGTCAGTCTAGGAAGAAACAAAAACATTAATGAAGTGGCCAATAACACGAAGGGAATCATGGATCAGTTTCCTTTCACTCCCTGTGGTGGATTTCACTTACAAGAAAATTGAAGCTGGCAAGACCCTGTTTTCTCTGCAATTTATTTAAAACCTTGCACGCATTTGGATACCTTGTGATTTCCAAGAACTATGTGAAGATTAAGCTTTGCTTACTGATACATGGCATGTATTCTTTTCAGTCTTTTGTATTTGATTTTGTTTGATTTCCCTCTACAGCGCAGCGTCTCTGTAAAGGTTTTTATACCTTTACCAACCATGTCTTAAATACATTAAGACAACACATTTGGTGTTCACACTTCTTCAGTAACATCTGTACTTGAAAGCCACATAGTGGCATAAAACCATGTGTGTTTTCCTTGAGATCAGTGCACATTTTGCAACCACCAGGAAGGAGATGTTTAGCTAAAGCAAACCCATGTTCTCTGGCTGACTTGACAACTTGGTCCCTGGCCGTGGGGCCCCACTTATTGCCTATCTTTTGAGGACATTTGCAGATGTGGTTTTGGTTTTTGTTTTTGTTTTTGTTTTTCTTGGAAATAACTGCACATTTATATAAGATATCAGAATATGCTTAGCATTTTCAGGCCACATAGCATGACTGTTTGTTGAGTAGGTTGGAAGTGAAGAAACAAGTATCAAGCATTTGGAACAAAAATAGGGATAAATTGCTTACTTTTCAGCCTCTGGAGATTGAGGTAACTTTTTACATGTTTTCTGGGTCTTGTCAACATCTTATTTTTCCATCCACTCTTTCATACTTTATGAGTATTTTCTGAATGGAGAAAAAAGTGAGGAACAAAATATTTAAAACTGGGTGCACAAGAATTGGGTCTGCTGGATGAGCCCTGAAAGCCGTCTTTGCTAGTTAACATTTAAAAAGCAAATTACGAAGTTATCTAGAGTTAAACATTTGCTCATTTACACCAAAGCACCTTTAAATTACATTTTTTCAAGCATTCCAAGCTGGTTGGAAGTCATCATTGGGTAACCTAACTTTAAACAGCCTCCTGGAAAAACTGTTCGAATGCAGGCTTTAGAAGCAATATAGGAGTCTTGCTTTAAAGATGGGAAGAGGAAAAAGAAAGGCCGACTTCCCTTGTTTGAGATGTTGAGAGACCCTGGAGGATGAAGGCGAGTATGTGACATGGAGGAAAAAGTGGATTGGGCGTTCGCGGAGCTTTGATGTAGAGGGAGCGCTGTCTGATGCAGGTGTCACCCAGTGGGGCAGGCCTCACTGCAGAATCCCAGATAATACTGAGGCCAAGGGGGCGGTTAGGAAATTCCTCTCAAGCCTGAAACCTAGTTCCTCAGGACGCAAATTCCTATAGAGATATTCACGTACATTGTTTTACATTTTCCCTATTAGTCAGAAAGAAGGAGAGACCAAAAACTTGAAATGCAATGCACTTTTGGAGATCAAGACTAGGAATTACGAGCCAGTTTGACAAAGACTTTCTCTGAGAGTCAGGTGAGGGAAAAATTTTTCTCTTGTCAACCCCAGTATAGCTAGGGAATTGGACCCAGAATTCCTAAACATTAAAATGGTACCTTCCCTAGAGTGGAGTGTGAGTATATATTCAAGGTCACAATCCATACTATCCAAAAGTAGCATTCGTTGTAAGCTTCTAAGTGCTAAGCAAGGAATTATTTACTGATTGATTTTAAAGAGAGCAAAAGTTGCCCAAGGCTAGAATGTTTATTATTTGCTATCTAGAAATCTTTCCCATTCTTTTGTACATTCCAACCCATTGGAAGTTAGAGGTTTTTCGATTTAAGATGTACTTAAATTAGGATTTCTTAAAGTAAATATGGAAAAGAAAATCTTACGTGCAATCAAAAACAGCCTTGCCTATGATTTGTCTTGAATTATTCATTTGGGAGAGAGGCATAACTTTTGTATTTTACCAAGCAACTGATGATTAAATCTTGCTACTTAATAAGCTTTCTAACTTGAAAATTTAAAGATATTTAGTGTTAAAAGACTTCAGTTAGGAGTGTTAGAGTCATTCAGAGCTAATATGCCCCTGTCATTGGTAGCTTCTCTTGGGAAATGAAACAGAATTCTACTCAGTGATGGGGGAAATCTGTCTCATTACAGAGACATACCTCTCAGAAGATCTTATTTAGGAGGTTTTAGTTCCCCATCCTTGCCATGGGTACAGGAAATCCAAAGTTTGGTTTGTTTCTCTCTCCTTTCCTCTCTCATTTGCAAATCACATTCTCCCTTTCCTTCTTTCTCCAGCTTCTCTAGCTGAGAAATTATAAAAATTATTGCAGAATGTGTTCATTAGCAGATTTATTATTCTATTGAGAAAGCACTGGACTGTTTTTGTGAGAAAGCTGGAATAGTAAGAACACATTAGCATGGTGATTGTATCAATGAGACATGACTGCACACACAGTATTCTGAAAGGAAATTTGGGACTTCGTTTCCATGTTCTTAAAGGAACAGTTTGGTTGACTTAAAAATACAATATAAGTAGGACATGAAAAAAACGTTTGCAGTGCTCAGAAAAAAAAACAGCGGCCATAAGGCAGCGGTGGCTGTCCATCCACTGATACAAGGGTGAGAAGCTGTTTCTACCTCTCAAGAGTGATGAGAAAAGTTTCCAGGGGCGCCTCCAGGCTTATAGAGAAAGCAAAGCCTCTAGGTAGCCTTTCCTCAGTGTGTACGTGACAGCCAGTGTAATCAGTACCCTAGGTCATGTGTTTATATAAGATATTCATCTGTGAATATTACTGGTTTTGTAATCTTTGTTATATAAAAGGATGTTTAGGCCGTACATAACTGGGGTAGATTATTGCCTGCCCCCTATACATAGGAAAGTGCGGCATAATTGAGCATAACTTCCATCTCCCTTGCTGGCTTGTAGGCAGAGGAAACCACATATGTTACTGCCTTGTGATTTTTCTCACACACCAAAAACAAAAACAAAAAAAATCTCAAATCACATAAGCACTCTCCTATTCTCATTCCTTTCTCACAGTAGCATATTTTAGAGGCACATACAAAATCTACATTCTCTAATCGAGAGTGGATTTTTTAAATTTTTCTTTTATCTTTTTTTCTTTTTTTTGTATGATACACTGAGATGTGTACTTTCTAACAAAGGGTTGGTACCTAAGAAATGTGCTAGCATCATTCAGAAAACTATTATTCTTCAAAGTGACACATAATAAGGAGAATGGAATAATACATTCTGCATATTTGTTACCAATTGTAATTTGTCTGTATTATGAAAGATGTAATGGTTTGTCAGCTGTCACTGTTGTTTTCTTGTAACATGATATGGAATAAAATATAGCAGAATCTCTACATTTTCTTAGTGCATCTTGGCAAGTGCCAAATAACACCATATACTGTGTCAAAGAAGTATTGTCTTAAAAACTCTTTGACACAACCATTCTTAAAGAGGGAGATAAGAGACCAGACACACAATGCTCTTGGATGTGGGAAGGAGTGAGTTAGCTGGAACGTTCCAGGAGTCTGTTAAACCCTCCCTTTCCTTGATTTGCTGGGCCAAATTTAGGTAAAGGCGTAGAGGCTGTGCAAACAAATCGTGAGCTCGGGGATCTTCACAATTCCCCCAGCTTCTTACTTATGTACGCCATATGTTCTATGCATCTGGAGCCAATCTAGTTTTGTTTAACGACAATCTTATTTATCTTTTATTGACTCTTTTTCATTTTTTTTTTCCCCCAACATATCCTCAGATGAGGTGAGTAGGTTATGCTCCACTAAATACAAATCAAAGCTTCGGCCTGCTGACATTCTGCCGGAAGCATTACTGATCTCCGCGCCGAGCATACTTCTCTGAACACCACCTAGTGGAGGCCTGCTCTGAATGGGCAGGGTACTGTCGGAGCTCTCACTGGGTGTGACAATGTGTCACCTCGGGAGGCCCGTCTCATTTCTATCATCACCTCCTTCTTGGATCTGTCAGCTTCGTAACCCCAAACAAACTCCCATGAGTTGATCAACTGCTAATAAAGTTCCTGCCAGATACAGTCATGAATTTATAGATACGCGATTTGGTGATTTATAAATGTTTACACTTGAAGGTAAAAATCAAAGTTCAAGGTTCACGTTAAAAAGACTCAGGACCCCGGGCTTTCCCCTAGGCAGACCCTCAACGCCAGCAGCAGCCACCTCGAGTTTCCCTCCTCTCACTGCTCTCCTAGAACCGTGATTGCATCTTTCATAAGTCCTTCACAAAACCAGACACAAGTGTTCTCAGCTGCTGATGTATGTTCGATTCCAGAAAAGCTCACGGGAGCCACCGCATCTTCAGCCCCCCAACTCTCCCTGCTGTTTCCCCTAAAGGAGTGACTCATCTGTGCCAAAGGTACAAGCATCTTCACAGTCCTGCCACCACTAGTGGATTCTGAGATAGGAAACTGCATGGAGGCAGACTTTATGGTACCCAAGATAGAGATAATAAGGAAATTTCTCAGTTAAATGGAAACTGATTAGAATTAGAGAGATGCGAAAAGAATAATTCATTCCTCAGAGTTGTTTCAAGGGAGCAAAAGGTTTGCCACTGTCCCCTTCCATCAGCTACGGCAGCACATGTGCCCATTGTCGAGCTCCTCCTTGCAGCCTCGGTGGTGGGCTCACAACTTAGAGCATGTGTGCCTGGGTTAATTTAATCCAATAAGCTCTTAATAAAGAAAAAGAGGAGGTGGAGGGCTGGTATCCACAAGAGCCCAAAGAAATAGCTTTGAGAAATACTTTTGAACTTTTTAAATGTGGCAGTAGAGATGACAATCGTCTCTCAGCTCCATAATGGCCCAGTGTTCCCTTCTTTTTGGGCAGGGGCCAGCCAGCTCTGCCAGGTTGGAGGATGTGATGTTTGCTCGCTGAGGCAAGCAGAGTAAGACTTGCTGTTGGCCCCCAGAGTAAAGAGAAACCAGAGGGGAAGGTGTTAGAGCAACCCTGTGCCACTAGGTTAACACGTATAGTTGGTGAATAATGGCTCTGCAATGAGAACCCCACAGTGGCCCAGCAGCCTGCTGCTACCAGTGGGTGGTGGCGTTATGGGCATTAGCTTTGAGAAGCTTATACAGCAGAGGGAGCTAGGATAAAGGACACAAATCAGGGGAAAACTGACAAGATTAAAAAAATCCAAGGCCTCGTATTTACTGTTCATCCCCCACGCTCTCGGTGTGCTATATTGTCTGCGTTGAGTCATGCTGAGAGAGAGCCAGGCACAATAATAGCTGGGAGCAGCCTTGCAGCCCTGGAGCCAGCCTCCGCCAATGGGGCTGACTGCGCTGGTGGAGAATGGGATTCTGATAGAGTTGTCTTTTTTTTTTTCCTCCTTCCCTGCAAGACCACTAATAATTATGGAGGGCACGCGGCAGAGATGGGTAAGGGTTCCCTGTTGGAGTGTATCCTGAGAAGTGGCCCAGCGGGGGGCCCGGCGGAGGTATGTGTTATAACAGCCCAAGGTGTGCCTGCCTGACAGATGCAGACAATGCTTGGGACATCCAGGGACACGTGTTTGAACTAGCGGTTCAAGGATTTAGAGAAGTTCAAATGAAACTTAGCTTTATGCATCACGCCACAGTGTGAAACAATGACTTTTCTCTCTCCATTTCCAACCAAATCAGGTAACTGAGTATCTTGCATCCTCAAAGAAAGGCTGTAATCCACTCAGGTCCTTGGGAAAAGCAGGCACCAGTCCCGCGACATTATTCTGCCTAACATTCAGGTAATTCGGACCTTTATGTGTCTACTCCCTTAGTCCAGTGGCTTGCAGCCCTGGCTCCCATTAGAATTATGGGGAGGTTTTAAAAACACCCCCACCCCGGACTGATTCATTCTGAAATATTGAGGGCGGGGCCCTGGCATCGGTCCGTTTGGGGATCTCAACAGGTGATTCTATTGTGCAGCCGCATGAGAACCGCTAGACACTTCCCTTCCTCCTGTCTGCCTGCTACTCCAGGGAGAGGGCAGGCGAACTTCTTCTGTAAGAGCCAGAGAGTAAATCCATTTGGCTTTCCAGGCTGTACAGTCTCTGTTGCCACTACTCGCTTTTCTGTCATAGTGTGAAAGCGGCCCTGCACAACGCGTAAATGAGCACGCATGGCTGTGTGCCAGTAAAACAATTTATGGGCACTGAAGTTTGAATTTCATACAGTTTTCACATGTCATGAAATATTTTTCTTTTGACTTTACAAAACTATTTAGAAATGTAAAACCCATGCTTAGCTCACAGCCTATATAAAAACATGCAGTGAGCAGGAATTTGCCTGGGGCTGTAGCTTGCTTACCTTAGCTTAGCACGCGGCCCTGGTAATGGGAGGTAGGGCAGAAGCACTCCTGACATTTGCTGGGCCCAGGAGAGAATCAAACGGAGGCTCATATACTGTATAACTAAATATTTAAAAATATAATTGCGACTAACAAAAAGTTAAATATATTCGATTTTCTTACCTCAACAAATATGTCTTCATCATGACCTAAGAGGCCAAGGTGGCACTTAGAATTCTTGGACTTCTCAAAAAGTTCACCAAAACATGGCGGCACGCATGTTTTGAAAAGCCCCGTCTTTTCACTTCCCACTCCTACCTCTAGGGGTGCAGATCTCGTGGGAGGAGTTACCCATGCATGTATATGAACACCTGAGCCCCTACACCCCTACTCCACTCATGCCCTTGACAAACAGCTCGTCCTTGGCCATCCACTGAGATCAGGTTCATACTCCCGGGGAGAGTGATTTTGAAGAAAGACTCCATTTGTAGAGAGAATTCCAGAGTCCCAGCCACCTGGAGTGTGTGGAGTAAAAGTGGGAGAGATAGTTTCCTCTTGGGTGTGGCACCATGGATTCCTTATTCCGTGGGGAGGGCTGTGCCTGTGCAAGATCAGAGCCTGGCCCTTTAAACACAGGACACAAAACGGGCCCTCTTGCCTCGGTTTAAGGTCACTGTCAGTGGGTAACATGAGAATCAGTTCCTATGAGTTTTCGGGTCCCTTGTAGATGGCCCTAACTACTCCAAACCCATGGAAGCAGACCTCATAATGTGAAGCGGAACCATTCTGAAAGGGCAAAGAACTGCTTCCATCTCTTGGAAGTAAAGGATCTGGCCCCTGTCAGTCATGTAGTGGAACTCACTGGTCCCTGTTCACTGGAACCAACTGTTAAATACTTAGGAATTTTGTGAGCCAGTTCTTAAATCACTGATAACTTGAAATCAGATGGGAATACCTATACCACAGAAATCAGAAAACTCGACAAATCAAGTCTTTTCTTTCTTTTTTTTCTTTTTCTTTTTTTTTTGAGTCAGTTTTCCAACACACTGCTGCCTCCTGACCTCTTTCTTTCCCATCTCATCTCCCATCTCCCCATGAGCACATCTTTCACAT